GATTACTATTAATTCATGTAAAAAAACAACAACTTTGTAATATAAAACTGCCAGAGACGTAAAGGTTTAAAAACGTAGCGTTCTCATGAATTGTGTTTTTTTTAAAACAAGGGGTCATCAAACATGTCAGAATAAACTCTAAACTCTATTTCCCCAAATTAATACAATATAAAGAGGTATTTGCAGCAGGTAAGACATTAATTGTGCCTACCCTTTCCACAGAACCCCACTTCAAAGGATCTATGACTTTAAACCCCTTCGGACCCAGAATAAAAAAATTTTCTTTTTCTTGCCTGGAATTTCGCAGAAAACAAGGTTTTTTTAAATTTATTTACTTTTTTACATTGAAGTGTCTAAATTAAATCAAAGAGCCGTAAATGGAAAACCTTACAGCCCCAGAATGTTGCATAAACAGCAAAGACAAATCAGTAGATCAGCCCCCTACATGAGGCCACCTTGTCAGGTTCGTTACGATACAAAAGGACGCACGTGACTGTGGGGCGGCGGCGCCACAAAGCAGCATCATCAGCAGCGTTGCTCTCGTTCATCACAAAGCTGCCGTGTTATCTTTAGCCCCGCAGACACGGCTCTCTTTACATTTTGCACAAGGTCAGGGCAGGATTAACATGCAGCTTTGGCGCCTAATTCCCCGACACAATGCCATTTCAACGCACATCATCTCCCATACCACACACAAACGCATCGTATCTGTCAGTTTGCATCTCAATAAACACATCAGTATTTTTTTTTAAATGTGTCATTTTATTGTTTGGTGAATAAAGCAGTTTAATTTACAAAAAAGTACATTCCCAAAGAAGGTGTGGGAGAAGAGCTGAAAATATAGTGACATACAAGTTCATTACAAAAAAAAGCTCTCAATAGGCTTACAACTGCAGTCAGCTAACACTGTTGTTGTGTTACTTAATCAAGTGTAACACCATTCACTTTTTTTTGTTCTTCCCATCACCCTGGTGGGAGAGAGATCATTGGATGCAGTGCTCTGTGGCCTTTCCTGAATTCAATTACCTAGTCACAGCAGAGCCCATATAATCCTGTTGTTGCTGAGAAATTGCCTGCTGTACAGTAAGAAACCATCGACGTCCCTGTTAGGGCTGGCTGGGGAGCTGCTGCTTTGTTTGGGCGTTGTGTTCGGAGGAAGCCCCCGCAGCTGTGGAGTCGGGCTTTAACAACTGATGGTTCTTTGGCAAAAAGTGCTGCTTTGCTAGTTTTCTGTCTTTGTTGTAGTGAACAACTGTTTTTGGTTCTTATGCTTTATTATTAGACACAAGCATGAGTTAATAATAGATAAATTAGAAAGTGAATCTTTAAAGGATGTCAATCCTTTTAAAAAACTGCTGATTGAATATATGTAAGACGTTTGC